GCAAACTGAGAGGCGGCGGAAAAAGCAGCAGAGAGGAGAGGCAGTAAAATTACTGCAAGTTGGTGGCCAGAGAGAAAGAGATGGCGAGAGCGCCGGAGAGCAGGAGAGAGCAGTGCAATAAAAGCAGGAAAATCACATAAATAATGTAGCTAACCATTAATTAAAGTTATATGCAATTAAATAAATGCAAATAACTATGGGTTAGTGCAGTTTCCAGCAAAATATACCCAATAGGAGCGCCTGTTCCAGTTATTTCTCTGCTGACCAGCTGAGAGAAAGAGCGAGAAACCGCTGCATCAGCTGTGAAAGAGAAACGAGTAAAAGAGAAAGAGAGTGGTAAAAAAAACAGTTACTGTGCGGGTGAGTAACTCAAAGTAATTTAAGAGAGCCAAAGAGTGAGTGAGTTTTTTTTATAGAGCATTTAAGAGTATTGGTTACAAGGAAAATGCTCTTGAGTGGCTTACAAAAAGAGAAAGAGAGCGCTTCAGATTTCCTTATTTTCCACTCAAATGTGAATTTACTGGGGAAAAGGAAGAGATTTTCCATGAAAGAATTATTACAAAATACAGATTATTTAAATCAGCAGGGAAAAGAAGGAAAATAAATGAAAAGGACCTCATTTTGCACATAAATAAATAATAAATAGGCGACTCTCGACTTATTTGCATTTGCACAGTTACTGCTCCTTGAGAGAGAAAACTTTTGGCCAGTTTTCCGAGTTTTTCCCCCGAAATTCGTTTGCATAAATCAATTATGCATCTGTGGGACACTTTTGTCCGCCGACATCTCAATTCAATTGAAATCTAATTTGTGCTCTAATTTTAGGCATTTTTCTCCCCGAAGACAAACTGCCAAATCATTTTCTTTGCCCCGCGGAAAATTGCCTCATTCCCTCTCGCTCGCACTCGAACGCTCATTTGGTCACGTCGCCAGTGCAAAGGAAACTGCGGCCACTAGGTGGCGCCACGCATGCCGTTTTCGTATCTCGTATTCGGTTTTTCGTTGAGCGAATAAGTATATTTGGCTTTTTAGTAAGTTTTATTGAAATATTCAGAGAAATAGGAATTAATACACATGTATTTATTGAAGAGCAAGCTATTTCTAATATTTTAAGTTATTTTATTAGGGCTTAAAAAATCTAGAATTTTTGGTTCTTACAATCAATTATTTTATCATCCGTTGAAATAATCATCATATCCGTCCACGTCAGCGATAATTATCTGCAAAAAGCGAATGATTTTCGCTTTTCAATTGCGAATCGTCGTTATCGCGGTGGATCGATCAAACGCCTTTATCAAATTAGCTTATCGCCATTTGTTTTCCATTTCCATTCGACTGCCATAAATTACTTGCCAAATTCCTTGGCATTAACTTTGGCTGCCAGCCCGGAAATCTATCTGTATGTATGAGTATCTGTATCTGAATCTGAATCTGATTCTGAAGACTTCCCCGGCACAATGAACTTCCCGAATTTGTGCTCGTCATAACTTTTTCTGTTGTTTTTTTTCTTGTAGCCATTTGTTTTTTAGAGCATTCCGCGAAAGTCCATCTCCCTGTGATAGATAAATGGATAATTTGCTGAGCATTTCATGTTTTCCTCTTGTGTTTTTCACCTGCTCGTTTCGGGGAAACATTTTGGCAGGGCCACCCCCTCCAAAAAATAAAAAATGAAACGAAAAGAAAACCCAACTTGTTCTTGATAATTTTCTTGGGTTCTGCACACGTTCACCGATTTTCCCCGCACTCTCTTTTCTTATTTTTTTAATGAAAATTTATGCATTCATATGTGTGTGTGTGTGTTAGCGAGAGTGTGCCGGTGCGAAAATGTGTTGTGTTTAGTAAAACTAATTTAAATTTACAAATTGCCTTCGAGGGGGCCACAAGAGCGAAAGCCAAAGCCAAAGCGTAAACTTTGTGAAAATTGCTTTCCCGGAAAAGCGGAGAACACCGAGGGAAAGTTCTCTATATGCGACGGCTGCCATGTATCGCCAAAGTCACAAAGGAAACAGATGGGAAAGTGGATTTCAATCTCAAAGTTGATTGATTTACCTTGCGAAATTTTTCACATTTAAATTTTCGTACATTAAAGTCAGTTTATTGTTTATGAAAAATGGCAAATTGAGTAATCGAAATAAGGTGAACAATTCAATTTGAATGGGGTCGTTTTAAATTGGATAATAATTGGATTTTGAAAGAATTACATGTTTTATATGAATTAAAGGAGAAGTTGGGAGAATTTTGGAGAGGAATTTTGAGTGTAAATATTAAAAACAAATATATTTTGTAAAACAAATTTATACTTTCATAAAAATTAATTAAAAATTTCTTGAAAAATACCTTTTTTTGGAATTTGATACAGTAAATTAAAATATTATATCAGCTAAAAAACCCGTTAAGGAAAAGAAATTACAAATATATATATATTTTCTAAAATATCCAAGCATTTTTTAAATATATTAATTTATACTTTGAAGAAATTTAAAAATAATTTTAAAATTTCCAAAAGAAAATCATTTTTTTGGATTGCATTTTTTGGGAACTCCGGATACAGTAAATCAAAAAATAAAATCAGCTAACGAGCCCAAAGCGTCATCAGCTTTCTATTGGCGAAAATAAGCAACACATGCCCTACAAGCCAATTTATACCCGTATTTTTGAGCGGGCAATAAATTTCGCTGATCATTAACCCCTGGCAGTCGTCTGTTGGCCAACCTGAATCACAGTTCTTTGTTGTTTATTTTTGAGAGGCCCGTTTAGGAGGTATATCGATGCCGCCTGTTTCTAATCAGGCCGGGCCACGCCCCATTTGAGTTGAGTTTCTGTGGGCGGCTGGGGGTCACATTTCAAAGATTGCGAAATTTCAAAGAGTACTCCGGTTTATCAATGGTTTCCGAATCAAAATCAGTTCGGTTCAGTTGGCGAATGTGCCAAAGTCAGGGGCCAAAAAGTCAAACAAAAGAAGTTCTCGTTTCATTTCATTTATTATCTGACAAAACACATCTACATAAAGCTAATGTGGCACGAAAGATATCCCAAAGATACAGATTCACAGATACAAATACACATGCGTGCTTCATGGAATTTCATTTCAATCTGAAAGAAATTTGATTTTATTTATTTGAGCCAGCATCACAGCAAGACAAGTTGGATTTTGGAGGGTCAGGGGGCGGGGGGCAGGGGCATTCATGAGATACATTTCAATCTTTCGTTTTCAATCTACGTGCAGCATTTTCAGCTTTGGTCAGCAAACAACAATGGCAGAAAAAAATAAATGTATAAAGATGAAGATGGCAGGAAGATGCATTCAATTGAAAGGAAAGGACACACAGCCAGGGATCATGATATGAATATGAAATTATCCCACATCCCCCATCATCGCCGCACAATTTTCATTTGCTGATGAAATTCTCGGGTTTTGGGTCCATGAATTCATAAGAACAGGTCCTCACATATCACATAATCGGGTGTGCGAGTTTCGTATCAAAGAGCGAGCATAAAATTGAAATTATGAAGAAATTCGTCACTGAATCGGAAGAAAGTATTTATAGATTTACCGCATTACTTGTGGGAAAATTTGGGTTCCAGGAATACGATTTTATGGTTGGAAAATTTGCATATTCGTTATGACAAAATTTTAACATTTCCTGGTAAATAACTTGCATTAATGGATGTTAAAAGTAATTACAAAACTTTATGAAATGTTTCGAATTGCAATTACTCACAAAAGTGCACAAAGATTAGATAAGCAATAAAATTTTTAAAAATAAGGAAACAATTAAGAAACATCTTTGTGAAATGGTATGTAAGCGAAATGATATGCCGCTGGTCAGACAGTTTGTTGAACCTGATTTTTAGTTTCACAAGATTGGAAATAAATACCCCTCTTGCATTTCTTGATGTTCATTTTAAATAAAAATAAATATTTAATGGCACAAAATAAGAACCTGTGGTCTTTATTTATGGAGTACAATTAAAATGGGTTCAGTTTTTCGTTCTCAGATGGGCTTGTTTTCTTCACATAAAAATAATGTTATTTTTAAATTAATTACTGTGAGATAAAAAAATGAAAGAAAATAGTTTATTGATAACCATTTTTTAGAGCGTCATGTGTAAAAATGAAATTGAACTTTAAATGGGTTTATAGGTAATTGTAAAGTGGGCACAACTTATTTTACTATCTCAGAATTTTCATAAGACAAGAAAATATCTATAAGAACTTTATTTCTATTTTTCTCTTTTTCCAAATTGTAAAATTTTCAATAATCACAGGTTCTTTAATAAGTAACATTTCATTTTGCTAACGACAAATTTTCACAAAAACTTTGATTCAATTCTTTCTATGGGCATTTTCTCCCGACTTTGACGGGTTTTTCTCTCGAGATTTACTTTTCATTTGCCGAAGCGGCGAGCGCTGTAAAATTTGCATTCGCCTGCTTCCGTGGAAAAGGCGAGGAAATTCTGAAGATACACTCGTATCTTGTATCTGGGTATCTCGCATCGTATCTTTTTTGCGGCCTGGCAACAGCCGCTATTTGCAGCATGTTGCAACTTGCAACTGAGTTTTCGTTTTCGGAGTGGAAAATTTCAGCCTTTTGCCTCTGCCGCTGCCTCAGTCGCGGTCGACGTCGACGGCGCAGTAATGCCGGGGTGGCTTTTGTTGTTGCTTCTTTTACACATCAATTTTTTTTGTTCCCTTCCTTGCGGGAGAACATTTCCATCATCATCCTTTCCGTGGTTTTCTCCAATTCGGGTTTTTCTTTTCGAGTCACGTACGCCGTTTCGCTCGCTCCCTCTCTCGCTCGCTCTTTCGCCGGCCGGGGCTGCGGTTGTAGGTGCGCATGAGCGAGACGGACGCGCGCCGCTGAGTGAAACAGCTGTTGGGGGAGCAGAGCGCAAGAGAGCGCGCGAGAGCGGGCACAGCGCTCTCCGGCCGCGACGGCGACGTCGACTGCGGGCCGGCGAGGCGTATATAAGGCGGCGCGCCGGCAGAGAAAATCATAGTAGCTTCGAAAAAAAACACAGAGAAACACAAGAAGAGGGACACTCCCACAGCCAGAAACAGAAAATCAAATGAAGCAGCAGCCGAAACGTGCATAGCCAGACTTTGAAAAACACAAACCAAAATTCAATCACACAAAACACACAACTGTTTCACGAAGAATTCTATGCTACTGACGTTATATTAACTTCAAGTATAATACATAAAATAAAATAAAATTTGCCATCAAACAAATGCAACGGACCAACGCCATTTAAGTGATACAACAAAACAAATAAAAGTTTAAACAACATAAGTGCTGTGATTTCCACTACAAAACAACAACAACCAACCAACCAACAAGAAATGTTAATTTAAACTGCAACAAGAAGTAGAAGAAGAAAAGCAATCAGCAAGAAAACAAGCAGCAAATTGTGATAAATGAAATAATCTTAATTAATTAAATCGTACAAGTGATATAAACAGGCGACACAAAAAGCCGTCGGAAAACTGCGAGCGAACGAACGAACGACTTTCGATTCGATTCGACTTTCCAACCTACAAAGCCACACAACCCAGAAAAACCAATGAAAATGGATGTTATCCCCGTGCAGAGCATCTACGGTGGTGTCCGAGGATCAAACAAAACAATAGGTAAGTTGAGGAAAAAATCCTACAAAAAAGTGAAAAGATCGGGAAGGTTCTAGAAAGTTTCGATAGCCAGACACAAATTTTTTTTTCAACCTTTACTTGAACTTGTTAGCAAAACAACAATTGCTTTGCAATCCTCCTTGAAATTTCATCAGCAATTAAGTTTGTAATTTACATTTACACAAAAAATGCATAAAAAATCAATTTGCACTTACAAAAGAAAAATGTCATAAAAAACAAAAATCATGTTAAATTGTTCGTCACGTACGCAAATTGCAACAACAAAGGAGGGGAAGAAAAACGACAAAAAAAAAACTCTCCCAGCAGCAATAAAAAAAATGATTTTTCGTTTTCTTTGGGCTTTTGCCCTCTGTCTTTTGCGTTTGCGTGTTCCGCTTTCATCTTGCGTCCGCTGTTGCCAAGCGGCTGTTGCTCATCGCCTAGTTGTTTGTTTTTGGCTTCCGTTTCGCTTTTTGTGTGATGTAGCAATAGAATTTAAAAGGTGCTTGAAAGTAGGGATCTTGAAATTTGTTCATTATTTAAACGATTTCTGGAACTTGAGGTAATAGTACATGTATAGTGAAAAGGTTCTAGTTAAAGAAGCATATTTTTTATAATATCACAACCATTTTACTTATCAAACTTTTCCCTTACTTTTTATCATTTTAGATTGGACCAGCACACTGTCTCCGCTCGAAGCCGCCGTGGCCGTTATGCCCAAGAAGGCCAAGACCGCTGGCAACAGCGCCACCGCCACCACAGTGGCCACCAGTATTAAGCACAAGCAGCCGGCGGGCAGCAACAACAGCCATGTTGGCCAAAGTCAGAGCAAGAAGACAAAGCCCAGCGGCAGCTACAATAGCAACTACTACTATGCCGCCGACGAGGAGGAGGGCGGCAGCAGCTACTATTCGTCGAACTATGATACCAAGGCCGAGGATGAGCTGTCCCTGCGACTGCTCGACGAACTGAGGGCGGCCAAGTCGAGGCATCTGACCTGCACGGAAGTCTCGCTACCCTGTGATCTCACGCCGAGCGTGGCCCGGGAAATTATCCGCGTGTCGGAGAAGGAGCCCTGCGGCATCCGCGGCTGCACCATCTACATTGAGTTCGAGGATGAGCCGAAGAATTCGCGTCGCATCGCCTCGATCAAGATCGATCCGGACACGGTGTCGACATTCGAAGTATATCTGACCCTCAGGCAGGATCACCGCGGCTGGACGTCCCTGTTGCCGCAGTTCATGAAGAGCCTGGCCCGCACGATCACCATCAGTCCGGAGTACACGATCACCAAGAACAAGCTGTATTCCGCCGACGGTTTGGGCGCCCGCCGGAGCTATAGCTTCGGCAGCCACGCCCACAGCCCCAGTGCGGCCATAGCAACGCCCACAAATTAAGGTGATCTGGAAGATCTGCGAGAAGTTTAAGCAAAAACACCACCCCTGTGATGATCGAGAGCAGTAGTTTGTTGCAAGTTGATGAGCAACAACGAAGCAAGTATTCGAAGCCACCCCACCTACACCACACACACACACACACACACACACAAAACACATTAGGGTACGCCAACCACACTCTCATACTAATACTATATAATGGGACCGTAAGGCCCCGATTTTTGTAATTGTGACTCTCACCACCATTTTACTTAGATGCGTAGTGCTATAACAAATAACTAGAGTTTTAAGTTGTTTCTCCTTTTTCAAAAACGCAAAAGCAAGAAAAACAAAGGCGAGAAGAGCGGAAGAAAAGTAAAGAAAAACCAACATGAAATTCAAAGACGGCAGCCCCACGAAGCCCAGAATCATATTTCTGGGGCCTTCGCTTTGGGGCTCGCCGGTCGACAACTCATGAATATGTGATACTGTTTAAGATGCTAAGAGTTTTTTGCCGGACCGACCAAAGTCCGGCAAAAGACGTTGATAAAATTACACATTACACACAACAAACAAACACACACCACACACACACACCCCATACATAACAAAAAGAACAGATTTTTTTAAAAATTGTATGCTATATAGTAATAAACAAACAAACAAACCAACAAAACAAACAAACTTGATCTTGGTAAATTTAAAATTTAACTTTAAAACTGAGAAGAGGCCTCGAAATGTGAAAGAGGTAGATGAACACACGCTCCAATTTTAGTTAGACGCAGCTTGCTGCAATAAAAATTTTTTAAATTATTAATTAATATTAATTAAAACCAACAAATTTTAGGATTTTAACAAATTTTTATATATTATTAAATGTATAGCGCGTACTACACAAAAATAAAAAACAAAACAAAACAAGAAGAAAAAAATACAAAGAAAATCCACAACAAAAAAATAAAAATGAGAATAAATTAAACATAAAAATCAAGCGTAAAATTTAAGGCAATGAATATCTCAGTAAATGTGAAAGCGTAAAAAATTTGTAAAATTTTTTTGTCTGTGTAAAACTCCCAATGCGATATAAAAACAAAAACTTAAATGTAGCAGCGAAAACAAAATCAAGAAATCGTCAAATAAAATGTGAAAATTAAATTAAATGCAATGCGATATAATTTGTAAAAATTACAATTAACGTAACGAGGAAAACTCAATGTTCTCACAAATACAAAACACACCATCCACACATCCACACCAACATACAAAAAACACACGAAAGTATCTATTACCAGCAAAAAGTATCTATCAAAGCGAAAAACTATTTATTAAAAAAAGAGAGAGAAAGAAAGAAATAAACAAGCAAAATACGAAAAAAATACATGTATTAATTTTTTATTATTAAAAAAGCAAAAACAAAAATATATTGTATTTAATGTTAAGTTTTTTTATTGCGTAAAACAACAAAATAATTGTGAGAAATTTGTAACCAAAACAAAACAAAAAAACAAAAGCAAAAACATTTTGTGAAAAAAACCATACCACACCATACAGAGCGAAAAACAAAGGCAAAAAAAATTACAAAAATAAAAGCATATAATTTTTCCTGCGCTAGCGGAAAATAATTGTGGAAAAAATTAAAACAAAACGGCTTTCTTTTCTGCCAGCACTGTTGCTGGATCCCAGGGGGTGGGCCAAAGGGGGGACAGGGGCGGTTCAGCTTGTTGCGGGTGCAACTTTCTTTCAGCAGCCACCGAACCACTGAAAAACGGCAACGCCGCTTCCCGCACAACCCGTTACTGCCACGGCCATGGCAACTGCACTGCGAGAAACCGGACCCGATTTGCCACTATTACACAATTCAAAAACAGTTGAATTATACACTGAAAAATATGAGCTCTATATCAACTACAGCCCCTTCCTCTGGTAAAAAAAGCAAGGGTTTAGCGACCACTACTGCCCATTGGTTTTTATAAGGCTCGGTTTAATATTTTTTATTTCTATAGATGTATTGATTTAAAATGAATCATCACATAAAATCAATTATTATTATTTCATTCAATATTAATATTTTATTCAATATTTAATATTATTTCATTCAAAAATATATCATTTTATTTTATTTCAGTGTTCTTCACTATAAAAATTACATTTTGTATAAATTTTTTAAGGATTACATATTTAACAATAAAATTTTAATTTATAAATTTAAAAGTAATTATACATAATAAATAAACTTGAATCTATAGTTGTAGCTTTAGGATAGAAAAAATAAAACAAAACATTTTCTAAAAACTAAGCGTAACATTTCAAATTATTTTGATTGTCGAGTACGAATAAAAGGAGAGGAAGACTTTTTAAGATCGAAACTTTAGGGTTGGGTTTATTGAAAAACTACAAAATTTAGAGGTACAGTTTTTTTTTGAGTGTACAGCTGCAGTAGTTACACAAACGGCAACAGCAACAATCGCTGCCTTGCGATCAACAGGGGAAGACAATTGGGCAACCAGTTTGGGCTAGGCCCACAACTTGTTGTTGGGCCGCGATGGGTACTATGAACTTGGCTGAAAACCGACAACGTTGCAGTTGGCCAAACAGGCTGGGGTTACCAACAAAAAGTTCAGGAATAGGAAGAAATCGCACAGATTTACAGATTTAATTTACCAGGTGCTTAAAAAGTACTATTAATACATACATACTACGGTAATTATTAATTTACAACAGTCCATTTCAGCTTAATATTTTTTCCAATATATTTTGGGATATGTTTTAACTTGATCTTGATTAAATAAAGGTTTTCTAACTCCAATATAATAATAATTGTATGACTAACAGCTTATTTTACTTTTAAGAACACTAAATAATTTGTATAAATTTTATAAAATTAATTTAAAATTAATATATAATGACTAACAGTTAATTTTATTTTACAGAATTTTTTTCTTTTGGATTTTGTTTAGAACTTATTAATTTTTTTTGCCTATAGTCATTAATAATACTAAATATTCAATTCATTTGGCTCATAAATTACCTGTGATTGGCTCTTACGAAACCAAAAATAATAAACAAATGTTGTTTTACAAGTGTTAGTCAATAAGAACAAAAAAGGACAATTTAAGAGAATAAATACATTTGTGAATTCAAGAATTTTGGTAATTTGCATCGTCAAGGCAGGTGAGTTTTCCTTAATTCGTATGGGATCTGTAATTACGACCAGACGTGTGCCATATTTCGCCAGAACACCCAGTGTAGAAAGTCATTTAAAATGCTGTCATTCTTCTTGTTAAGGCGAACATCTAGTATCCATCCACCTCAAGTCATTACCAAAACGAAAAGGAAAGCGGTCCAGGGGGCAAAACCGCCAAGGCATTCGACACTTTTTTGGACCCGTTGCGATATTCGGTCATTTCCGAGAATAGAAAGCCGAAGAAAGGGTGCAAGTGTACGCGGGAACTGTTGACAACAATATTTGAATATATATGTGTACATCGGGAATATATAGAACCAGAACCCATAGACACATAGTATAGTGTAGTACGTGTTGGTAGAGATGTACGCGGTGCGGTTGCTCGGGTTTGATGGGGCGAAACTACAATCAGTTCCAATTAGATGCGAAAATAGAATTCAATTGTCACGTCATAAAAGATTTAATTGAATCAATTTCACGTCACAATTCGTTCGCATTTTTTTTGGGGACATTTCGTTATATTTTTATGCCATTTTCGCATACTTTTATTTTATTTTTATACGTATTTTGAACTTACGGGTATTTGTGGCTCGCCTTTGTTTTTGTTTTTCCGCCGAGACTCAAGGCAATTTAACGATGCCTGCTGATGACGCGCCTGTCGCTGATAATTTCCTTGACTTTGTAATTTATAGATGTTTTCAAAAATATTTTTGAGAGTGTGCTAGAGCCTCCTCGAGATAGTTTTCGCATTTACGAAAACACGTTTCGATTATGGCCCACACGCGTTTCCCAGAATTCTTTGTTGGCCACATTTTCGCTGCGTGTTTTCCCATAGTTAAATTCCGTTTTTTTACCTTCTTAATTATTTAGGTTCTTTAGTTCGAATCCAGAGCAGCCAGAACATCTGCACGGTATTCCCCACGAAATTCCGAACTTTGAGACGGGGTCTGGCCAATATTTGCCGTATTATTTAACTTCTTGTTTACTCCTCGCTTTGTTTTAAATTTCTCCATTTTCCCCCCCACTCCCCCACTGTTTTTCCAACGCGTTCCATTCTAAACTGAATAAATAGATTGGTGTGTCACATTTGTCAACAATTTGCATGCATATTCTCAAATGCGGAATTTCTGTTATTGAAGCACACAAATGTATCTATATTTGTAGACATTAAGAAAACAACAGTCGAAACAAATAAAAAAAATTGGATAGACAAAAAAGATGGCAAATATTTGGTCAAGTCCTCTGGTTTTCGTTTTTGAACAATCCCGCTCTTGGAACTACACATCCCGCAGTTGTTGGCCAATTAATTTTAGTTTTTTTTTTGGGAATTTCTGGCCATGGAAAGTCTCCAGCTTTATCGGATCTTCGGCACGTGTTACCCCATCAGCGAACTAAAAATCGCTTCGATTCAAGAGAGATTTGCGCAGCCAAAGTCTTTGGACTTGTCACATCAACCTCGGACGTAGGTGGACTCGTTTTGGACGTGTTCATTATTATTTTTTCAACGGCACGTGGCCCAGTGAAATATTCGATCGCTGCGAGGGGTATTAGAAAATTGGAAAATGTTTGAGCTGTCACAAAATCAAAAAAAAAATTCACCATTTTTACGATTAATTTCTTTAAAATGTTGTTTTCTGCCTTGGTCATGGTGAAAATTGAAAAATCTCTTCCAAGAACTGAAATACATGTGTACATTTTGAAAATACTTATAGGCATTGAACATTTTCGAGTAGCTAAGACTTTATAATTTGCTTTTTGGCATAGCTAATCTATTTTCTTATTAACAACTGACAGGACAAATAACACGTTTTGTTTCGTAGATATTAAAAATGGCAGATATTGGCTCTAAATTGGTGATAAATCGTACCATATATCTTTCCTTAAAGTTATTTAAATCAAAAAGTATTAGTTTTAAACATTCTATAATAGATGTTAATCAAAATACGGTTGTAAATGAATGAAAAAGTTATAAATCTATGAAAACAATAAGATATCTTCATTACTAACATACAGTACTTCACATACCTGAAATTTAACTGAAGTGCTCATCATATTTTTTTTTTCTCGAAATTAACCCAACGATTTCCAACATTTGGCAAAAACTAAACCTGAAAAAA